ACATCTGTCTTCTATGATCAGAAATGACATTCTTAACATCAATAGTTTCTTAGGCTTTCCTGACAGGAAATAGTTTTGAGGATGTATAATCAATTACAGGGTATGCTTGTCAATAAATTTTTTTCTGCAAAAATAAATCAGAAATCCTATCAAAATGGCATTATGAAAGAGTCCTTTTTCCTTAGTACTCCCCATGAAATGGCCGTGCTTGACGCTTATGAGAATTTTTATTTAGATAAAGGTTGTATATTTAATCTATGAGCCAGCCATCTTTCCAACCAGCCAATCTGCATAAATTTTATGTCTTAAACTGAAAGAAAATGGTTGTGATCTAGAGTCAGCCTTTACTTTATCAAGTCTGTATCACCTTTTTTTCCTCCTGACTGCCCTCTTCCTTTTTCCAGAACCTGTACTGGTACTGTAAGTATGTAAGAGAATATCCCCAGTCTTTGAAAATACACGCTGAAGTATTTTGGGCTAAAAGCCCATGATGTATGTAACTTAACCCTGAAATCATTTGGGGATAGGGGGCAGGAACTATACATACATACACACATTACGTGTACCCAAGGATGGATTATCCAACAGGCAAGGTAAGCACTGTGCTTACCTTGTTTACCAGATTGTCTGTAGTGAACAATTTCACATTTTTTTTTTACCACATCAAAGATTCTGCTTCTAGGTATGGCTGACATCTGTCTCCCAACTACACCGCACCATCCTACAGAATTTACAGCCTCTTTTTAAATTTATAATCCCTGACGGGTGGATGACCCAGTAAACAAGGTAAGCACAGGCTTACCTGTAAGTGAAATTGTTCACTACAGATTATCTGGTAACCACTGTGCTCACCTTGCTTAGTGGATAATCCACCCCTGCATATCCATATATACATTGTACACGTATTACATATACATATACTTGTATAAAATAGAGAGTGGCAAAATACGCAAACAATACAGCAAATGATAAAATGCTAACGATGATTCTGGGTAGGTCAAAGGGTATATGGGTGTTGTTTGTACTATTTGTATGCTTGCAACTTTTCTGTAAGTTTGAAATTATTCACCAATAAAAAGTCAAAAAATTAAAAAATGTCTCAGTCAAATTAATGATTGTTTTCTAAGTAAATGTTTCTTCTATTATCTGTCCTGTCCTTTCCTTCCTCTTTTTCTTCTTTGCTTTCCTCTTTCTCTGTCCTCTCATGTGTAGAAGTCCAAGGCTTGCGAGAAGGCCATTGCAGTGGGCCAGACGGTCATCACGAAGCATCGGAACACCCGGTATTACAGCTGCAGGGTGATCGCCGTGACGTCACAAACTTTCTATGAGGTCATGTTCGACGACGGCTCCTTCAGCAGAGACACGTTTCCCGAAGATATTGTGGTGAGTGCATCTCCTTGGGTCCCTGCTACTCGATTCACCTTTGGTGTAACTGAACAAGCTGGACCCTTCAGAATGTTTCGTTTGGCCTTTTGAGTAGCTCCCTTCCCTTGATACGCAAGTTTGCTATTTTTCCACAGCAGAGAGGTGTTTTTGTTCAGGTGCTTCCCTAGCCTTCATCATCATAATAGTATCCAGGTGAATGTAGACTAATATTCTCAAATTCTTTTAATTAAATGAGAAATGTATTTGGTCAGGACAGGTAAAATGCAAATCCACCTCTTCTTT